TACCTACTGCAAATATTGCTGAGTTTCTTTCTAAGTTTAGGTAATTTAATGATAAATTAAGTTCTGAGCTTCAATGAGGTGTGACAGTAATTCTGTCCAGAGCTGGTGAGAAAGACAATGTTTAGAATACACTTATCTTTTAATTCAGACTGCATGAATAATATTTACCCTAGCTTACTCAGTGATATTTTTCCTCTAAATATAAATTATTTCTGGCCAATAGAATTTTGCAAAAATTAAGTTCCATCTCTGCCTCTGAGAGACAACTAGAACAGCGCCGATGTACATACTCAGCCCTGCATATGAAGAGATGTCATTCCCTGTACTGTCAAAAACAGAAATCAAAGGCTCAAAATGGCACTAGGTACAGCTGTCCATGTCACCATCATCCGACTACAAAAATTTAGGGGAACACCTTAGTGATGGGGCACATCTGCCTGTCTCGTGAATCTTGCTGTGACTCACAGATGACAGCTCCTCTTAGAGGATGGCTATGGGCCCAGATGAACCACACTTGCCTATCCTACAGGGGCATTCCTGCATCTCGCAATTCTGAGGGCATGACAGCACCATATGCTCTTCACCACCTTCCCAGACATAGTCCAAGAGACTAATGCTAAACTTCAGACTTATAATGAGAGATATCTGTGCTATTCTGTGGCTCACCAAGGCAGTTTGAGTCATTGAAAGCATGGGAACTGGAAGTGGTCTCATAGATACTCTCAGCCTCCAAGAGTATACAAGTTCTGTCTTAGGAAACACCTTGATGAAGTGGTTCCCCGTTACAAGACCAAACTAGAAATTCAGGTTTAAGCAATGGAACCTTCGAAGGCACAAACAGAATCCATAGCAAAATTTTAATACCCTGGAATTACCTAAATCAGACTAGAGACAGAAACACAGAATGCCTTCTCACTTCTTGCCCTAAAGCTCAGCAGTTCTGGAGTCTTACCATACTCCAAACTATGGTCACTGCTAAGACAACTCTCAACATCATCTTAGATTCTCCAGCCCGTATCTGCCAGCCAGCATTCTTAATCTTTCCATTGTCAGAATCTAAATTATTTCTCTCATATATATGGCTTTATGATAGCTTTTCTCCTGTTCCATCTAAACTCCTCTTTTCTGAGACAGAGACCTTTTAGTCTGTCCTCAACTACTTTTTCCTCTTTATTTGCTCTGCTGAAGATCTACCTTGAGGCTCCAAAGGGAACATCCAGAGATACAGACTGCATGGTGTATCAGGAAGACTATTTACCCAGAAAGCCTCATCTTGTCCATAAAAGACTCCAGACAAGGGGGCTGCAGAAGGAAGTGAGCAGTGCCAGCACAAGGCAGTGGGTTACTGAATCTGCCAGTTTCTCCATCAAATCATACCCAGAAGAGCACATGCATCTGGTTTTTGAATGTCTGAAGGCACTCTTATCTATGGTGTGTTGTCAGGGTTGGGATGCAGCAGTGGAGGGAACTTAAAACATTTTTAAGTGGCCAAAAGCCTCTCCAGAGAGCTGCTTCTTGATCCCAGCAGCTTTCCAAATTCCCTTTCTGTCTTTTGGCAGGGCACAAGTTTTCAGTTTGGGGAACAGCCAGGGCTTTACACTTTCTGGTTTCTCTGGTTTCAGAAAGCCCCTGCCTCCCAAAACCCTACTGCCCACTCTTGCCTTGTGTCCATCCACTCCCCCTCCCTTCTCCAGCACCGCCCTCCCCACCTCCAGCCCGGGTGACGATCCATGAAAGCCCCCAGCAGTATGTCACAGGAGTGATAATTACATCCCCCCGCTCACATCATGCCGCCTGCTGCTGACCTCTCACCCCTCCTCTCTTTTAATCACCCCCTGGCATCAGTCACTGTGACAGGGCAGCAGCACTGGACACGTGACCTGTCAGCCCGGGGACATGACTTATAGGGCCCGGCTGGTGGACAAAGGGAAGGGAGATAGGCAGCATAAATCTCCAGTACGAATAAAAGAGAGTGATGGGGCATTCTGCCGGGGCCTGCGTTAGCAGATTCTCGGCCTCTTGTTATTCAGCCCAGAGTTATGGTGATGAGGAAGTGGCCGAGAGTGACACGCGCTGGTCCCAATCAACCTTGCGAAACCTGGCGAGACCTAGAGGAGCCTTAATGTCACACATGGCTGGAGAGCCTCAACGAGGTGGGCGAGGGGCAGGGGAGCAGTCACAACCGTCCCCAGCCACCAGAGGCATTTGACCAGCAAAAGCTTCTGCAGTCAGCAAGGCACTAAGTCACACAGAACAAGGACCCTTCTTTATCTCTGCTGAGCACATTTGCAGCAGGAGTTGCACACCAGAGCACACACCATTGGCATAGGATGCAGGCTTCTCCCTAACTGGTCCACTCCTCCAAGCTTCTTCCCACCAGCCCTCTGCTCACCTGCCTTGCCATACATCTCTTTTCCATCTACTCCCCGCAACTCACCTGTTGCTTGGCAGGATGAAATCACTGGTACATCAGTCGGCTGCTTCCATTGTGAAGTTACAGGACATCTGGCATTTCCACCAAGGATTGGTCCTCCATCACACCTCTGCTGGGATAGAATTGCTCCTCTTGGGGCTGCAGAGAGCTTTGACTTTTATACAGAGCACAAGAGGGAGTATGTTTTCCCACTACCACTTGCTATGACAGGTGCTGCAGCAGACAAAGGGCACCAGAAAGATCCATCTGGACCAACTCCATCACTACCCATGTCATCTTGTTCCCCTCATCCATGTACCCCTCAGGAGGGAAAGTGACAAGGGAGAGCTGATGTCCCCAGTAGTGCTGTAACTCCTCTAGTACTTCAGAGAAGAGAAGTCAGGAATTTTAACCCAGAAGGAGTAGAAATGAGTAGAAAGCCCAGAGAGAAGGACTGCTGTCAGTTTTGAATATACTGGAGAAGAAATTAGGGAGAGGGTAACATGTGGGAAGAAGACAGGGAAATTTTAAGAACATTTTCTTTCTTTTGTTTGAAAACCGGAAGTAGCATCTGAAATTATAGCTCCTCAGCTGAAAGCAGACAACTTTGATGATTTTCCTTTGTGCATCATGGAATAGAGTAATGAATTCTCTTTCCAACTATGGGTGCAGTTGGTTCTGACTGAACATAAGAAAGGTGAATCTCAGTAACCAGAAGGGATTTGGCTCCATAAACATCTCTATCTGAGAACTACCATGTCTTGGGTGCTCAGAAATGTGGAAGCATTGGGGGCAGAGTGGGAATGTAGTGTGCAGACCTTTTACACTGGTGCCATGTCTCCTGTCCTGTACTGGCAGTGGCTTCTCTAAACTTCAGGTCTCAGTTGCATAGTGAAAACATCAGCAAAGCCATCTACTAATGTTGGCTGTTCACTCTGTGCATAAGCACCACCTCTTGCCCAACTCCTCCTACTCTTCCCTGCAACCTACAAACTCCAGCATTATGCCAGATATCTCATTTATAAGACAATTGCTAAAATGAGAGATGTGTCTAAACAGTGATGGGTGAAGGTCTGCTTGTGCCATTCCCTGAGTCAGAGCCTGCTTTTGATGTCCCCTCACATGTCACAGGTGAAGGGCCCCAGACAGGGCTGTACAAACCATACAGCACAGTGCTGGTGCCACCACTAAATAAGTGAGTGAGGAAAAGTTCCGAGACTTTTCTCCTGAATCAAGCAGCAACATCAGCATCCTACACGTATCCTATACCCTCCTCTCCCAACAAGTACCCACTGCTGCTGCCAGTCGTTGGCCTTGCTCCCAACAAATTTCCCTACTGCGACCTGCAGCCTCCCAGTCCCTGCACAGCATGAGGCAGCTAAGGCTCTCTGTCACACAGAACAGTTTTTATTTAGGCTGGAACCTGAGCATTAGACTGAACAGGGCCCCACACTTCCATCTCCATCCTCCCCGAAGGCTTCTTCTCCACTAGCAACTTCCTTTTGGGTCAAGGGGAGAGCCCTAAAGCCCTCAGCCTCCTCACCAGATGGGTCCTACCCTCTGAGACAGGAGCACAGCGCTCCCTACCCTCCTCCCCCACATCTGCCTTTTAACGATGATGGAAGCTGCTGTCAGCGTGCTGCGACAGTAATAAACACTCTTCTTAATAACACAGGGTGTCCCTCTTATTAAAATGAATAGACTTCAGCGGTAAAGTCAGCCTGCCTGCCTCGCAGTCTGGTGTGGACAGCAACCCTCAAGCAGAGCAGTTTATCTGCTGTAATTACTACAGCAGCTTTGGCTCCAAGACATTCCTGGTTACAGCACTGTACTGTACCCCCAGGCAGAGACTCGGGTACACGGAGATGCTACCAACACATGAGCACACACAGAGAAATGCAGGCAGATAATTGTCTGTGTGCCTGCAAACATGCACAGTAGTCTCTGAGATGCAAGGACACAGCAGAGTAGGGTAAAATATATCTACAGCCAGGCTTTTAGGCTTTCTAAATCCCACTGAGACCAGCAGCAGCAGTTGGTGTCACTCTTTCTGCTTCTCTCATACATAATAGGTGTATTAATACACCTGTGTATAAACCACACTGCACTGAAAGTGGGTGAAGAAAGGCAAGTGCCTGATTTGTGGGTGACAATCCTCTGTTTCCCCAGCTCACAATGTACCTGCTCATTTTTTCCAATTCCCTGGTGGATGAGAGGTCACAGGGTAAATATATTCAGGTTTTACCAGTGCACCACATTAAAAAGAGCTGATGTGGCACATCCCTTGTGTCCACCCTTTCTGGATCTCAGTTAATGTACTGATTTCTCCCTCATTGGGAAGCTGTCCATTTCCCAAGCAACAAATTCAGATGATCTTTGTATCTCAAGCACTTACTCTCTTTCACCATGCATACTGTAGCCAAACACCAAGTTTGGAATCCACAGGACAGCGAAGGATACCATCTGACATGATGTTCTGCCAGAGGTTCTTTTGGAGGTATGTTTGGATTGACTATTACACAATGGCCTCTGTGCAAGAATTCCTGCCTGGGAAACCAAAGCACCCCCCTCCTCTACAGATCTAGTTTCTTAGCCTTTACTAAGCTGGCTGATTCTGTAAATGTTCCCAACGTTGACCTGAGTGAGGCTACGTGTATGCAGAAGAAAAGCTGCCCTAGGAACCATTTTCCTCCTTTTGAGCTCTCTCAAACAGAGATTATCCAAGGGAAAAATCTATCAGAAAGACAAATGATAGTAGCACATCCCAACATCCACTCTGCTGCCAACTCAGAGCAGTTCTCTGGGCTGCAGAGACCCAGCAAGACCAAATCTGGTCCACTGCATCTCACCCTTTCAGGAACAAGTACAGAGGAGCAGTGCACAGATATTGCATCATTTCTCTTCCTCTTCAGAGCATTAAGGCAGGTTTCCTATCACTGTCACCATCAGGCCTCACACACTTACAGGATTCCAGCATTCAGGACACCTAAGTCCATCTCACCTTGCAGTGCTCCTCACAGAAGAGCCCACAGCAGGACACAAAGGTAACAGTGGGAAATTTAGCAAATTTTCCAAAGGGGTAGAATAAAAGTAATCAATTAATGTACAGCTCTGAAAAGCAGATGGCAGGACCTCACCATGAGGAACAGGACTCAGGTAAGTCTACCTTTATTATCTGAGAGACAGGCATTTGTTAGCTCTTCTTAGAAAATATTCTGGGCATGAGGTATTACAATCTCACTGGTTTTGCTGGCATTTAGCATAGCATGAGAGCAAAGGAGCAGATAGTAAAAAAATGAAACAATTGATGAACGAACCACTCTAAGTCACTCATATGCCATGTCATGAATTGTCCATCTTTCTGCTCAGTGGTAGGTTAGAAAGGATATATCAGGGGGAGCAGTTGATGAATGCAAAACATGACAAAGATACAATCAAAAAGACTTCCAAAAGGCCAGTAGTATCCCAAAATCAGTATCTCCAGCTGCAGGCAGACTGCACCACCTATGTCTACAGTACTTTCACCTTTCTAGGCCGTGGCAGGGATTCTCAAAAGTTCATTTCCCACCACCAGGCCTAGATTTCCAGATCTACATGGCTTGTCTTGCTGAATCACTGCCACCAAGGGCTACAGGTCATGTTAGGGGCTGGCAGCAAGGCTGCTAGTCTGGGCTTTCAGAGCTGCAAGCCTGTGCCAGTGAAGAGGGCTAAACCAGCAGTAAGCAGCTCAGAGGAGACTGTGGGAGCTCTGACAGAGCTCTAAGGGACAGCCTGGCTTTGCAGTCTACCTCATGTTTAAATGTCTTACTTAAGCACAAATATTTCATCCATTTCTCACCATTAAAAAAAAATTAAAAAAAAAAAAATAAGGAAGAAAACAAAGGAGAACTTTTCACAACAAGATGAGCACAAGAACTGGGCAGAGCTAGGAAAATTGCAGCACATCCTTCACCTCTGCTACTAGTGATTTTATTTAGGGGACACACAAGTTCAAGCAGGGTTGAGGTAGAAGCCACATGAAGTCTACTTGCACACTCTAAAGGCTGCTTTTGGCATGTCCAGTGCCTGCAAGGCCAGGCTAGCTACTGCCTGCTATGAGTCTGGTTACAGGCTGGGTAACTCCTGCCCTTGACAAAACCACCCTGCAGAACTGCTGCAGGGGTCCTGATGCTGTGGCATTGCCTGCACACCTCTCCATATGGAAAAGAAAACACAGTATAGAAGGAAACTTTCCTCCTATGTGGAGAAAGCAGTTGAAACTTCATTCATCACAGAGCTGGGCCCCAGGCCCTCACATCAAAGGGAAGTGCTTGTGTCTGAAGTTGCCATGCTGTGGCTCATTGCCTGCCACCGAATGGTTCATGGAAAACAAGCCACAGTGTTCAGACCTAAGTGTTCCTCATAAAAGTGGATGCTCTAGCTCCTTGAGAAGGCCTTGTGCTCCAGGTAGCTTGCAAAGCAAAATTTTGTTTGTGGATGTGGTTCACCAATGTTACAATGAAGCGAGACATGGGAAAGCAGACAATCAATGATCCAAAAATCTTAGCACCAGTCACACAGCTTCCCTCCTTCCACTGTTGTCAAGTCCAAACAACATCAATATTTTGCTGCTGATGCTTTTTCCTGGGATGCTGGAGGACTTCGCAGCACCCATCAAGTACACAGAAGTTGCAGAGGCATGGGAACAGAAGGGCAAGCTGAGACACTGCTGACAGCCTGTCCAGAGGGTGAGGAGTCAGGAGAGGAGCAGCTCTTCACTAGATCCTATAAAGCTCAGACCATGCTTCTGGCAAATCACTTCTTGAGCCTGTGTGGGCCGACCAAGGGTAAAGGGCTATCGATGCCACTCAGCTGAAGAGCCCTGAAGTGCTGAGAGAGGTGCTGGGAGAAGATGAGGGCTTCAGAGAGCAGATCAGCAGAAGTCTAATCCCAAACAGACACTCTCCAGAGAAACTGAGCCAAGGAGAACTCAGCCCTATGACTTCCAGGGCTTGCATGCTCTATGGCGCTGTGACAAGTCAAGAAGCAGATAAAGAAATTATTCTGAGCAAGTGTATTTTTCTCCCATTGGCCTGCAGACAAGCACATACAGATAAAGAGAGACCTCTAGTGATGCTGGAAGGACTCTGCTTGTCCTCCCTCTCTGAGCATCCCTCACAGCCAGAAACAAATGTCTTGATTGCTCTGACTAGTGCAGTAATACCCTCCCTCCTGAGTAGGAGAAAAACACAGGCTTATCACAATAACATCTGCTCATCCATGGAAGAGCTGGAGGAGTAGTATTCAGATTTAGGGGAGTGATTATGCCAGACTTGCAAAGTTCAGAAAAATTGACAAAGGCAAGGGCATGGGCTCAGGTCTTGCCCACACCCTGCCTCTCCAGTTGCAGCTGAGTTCCAGCATTGTCCTGGGATTAGGCATATGATCCAACATGTGAGGAAAGGATTATTGTCAGTGCTGGGAAACTATCATCTCAGTGACAATGTAGAACATGTGCCTGAAATTTGCATTCAAGCAGGGATTTCGGTGGCTGCCAGCTCAGTGTGGACAGAGGCAGGAGCCTCTGCAGGGAGCAGGTCCCTATCTGAGCCCAGCCATACCAGGAGATGTCATATCCCCCTTGCACAACCCTGGCAATTGCAGCATCTTGCACTCAGCTGCAGAAAGAAGGAGTGACTTTGGCTCTTGCTGAATTCAGCCTCAAAACCCCAGTGTCCAGATGTGAACAGAAAGGATGATGGAGTACGTGTAAGGGCATACTCATGATGAGCATCCCATGCCCAGCACAGGGAGAAGGCAAGCTGTTCAACTTCCCAACTCTTTGCACCAAGGGCTGGACACAGAGCCAAGAAAAGTGTTTGTTTATTCAGATATACAACTAGTGCTTAAAATCTTCCAGGTATGAGGAAGGCTTGAAGACAAACATGAGGAAAAGAGGCAAATGCAGGGACAGACTTGGCTATGGCAGAGGCACAGCAATTGTACTATGCAGTGTCACAAACCAGATCCATAGATCTGTCCTGTTGCTCTCAAACCCATGGCAAGAAAAGAAATTAAGGGCTCCTGCTAGTCAAGAGAGAAAGTCTCTCTTTCCTGCTCCTGACACCTTCTCTGCAGCTCTGAGCTGTGATTACTCAATTAGCAGGTCCTGTAGTCCTTCCTTTCACTCAGCAGTCTCTCCTTTTGCCCAGCCAGCACGTAAATCAAAAACCAGCAGCTCTTTCCCTGGGCTTTCTTTTTCTTGTGCTAGCCCAAACCTTGGTGACCTCCCATTGAGAGAGGGGAAGTCATATTTTGCTGGAATGCTTTATTTTCTGTGCTGCATGAAGAGTAATTGTGGAGGGGAGGGAGAGCGCAAGCACAAGAAAGCATGTACACTGCCAGCCAGGCCAATGTCCTTGTCCCACAAGGTCATGGATCCATTTTAGCTCAAAGAATAATAATAATAAAGCCTCATCGAAGCAAGGGATTCATAAAACAAAACATGAGCTGGGCATTTGGCAGCAGCTGCCCATAGAGTGGGAAGCACACATTTAAGTTCAGAGGTACAAAACCACTCAGATTTCCAGGAGCTGGCAGGGTTTCTGATAAGGTGTGCACATGTGTATGCAGGGAGAGCTGGCACAAGCTCACTTTCCCTGCATACCTCATTGGTGGTAATTCAGATAGTGCAGCAGAGTGCAGAGGTGCATGCAGACTGAGGAGCATGTCTGACCCAAACAAGAGCAAGTGGCAGGTGAGAACAGCCTGTGTGGTGAGCCCCCCCCCGCCCTGCTGCATCCCACCACACTTCCCCACACAGCACAAATGCAGCTCTCTGACACTTGCATGGGACACTTGAACTGAGCATTTCTCACCCCTGTTTAGAGGGCAAACATGAGGCACTGAACAGAACAGCTTATGCCTAAGACAGAAGAGCCTCCTCTGCAAGAATTCAGAAAACTTGGGCAATTTGCAAATGTTCTGATGAAATCCCAACAGGCATGTGAATATTTCCAAGCGATAAATAAAGCCCTGAGGGCCAAATTCAAGAATTTTTGAGAAAAACAATGGCAGCACGTTTCCTTTTGCTTCATATATAGTGAGGTCTAATAACAATTACTATTTCTATCTTGCAACAGGCATGCATGACACTTTCCTGACTGCAAAGGACATCTCTCTTGCTCATTTCCAGTATATCAGAACAGAGACAACTAGATCAAATGCAAAGGGAGCTGGGGTAAGTTAAGACTACCTGGTGCTTTGGAGGAGTCAATTATTTATTAAACTGTGGGTTAAAAAAAGTACTCGATAGGTTAGAAATTCAGACAGTGTTGTTGAAAGATAAGATTAATTTCTTCCAGATAGGTGTTCTTACATTAAAAGGCTCTACAGTTAACTGAAGGCAGCATCTGAGCAGTCAGGGAGAATGTCTGTGTTTACTGCTAGAGTGCAAAGGATTATACCATTGACCAATGCCCACAACAGTCTAGACTGTAAGTGGCTTCTGCCCATCAGCATCTCCAGGCTACAGGGAACAAACCAAACTGGAAGATCAAAAAGGAATGAAGACTGAGTACAAGTCAGACATGCTTTTCAAAAAGAAAACCAGCCATCCTTAGTCTACTAGAAATCTCTGAATCCCTATAAAGTGAGAAAAGAGACACCATTACTTGGACTTCTAAAAAAAAAAAAAAAAGAAACATCATCATGAAGAGGATGCTGAGGAAGCTAAGCCAGGACAAGGTAAAAGGGACAATGAAATTCTGGCATGAGATCATAGCCAAGAATGATCCCAGCCCAGACAGTGCCCTTACTGATCAAGGCATGGTCCTGCAGAACTGGAGCAGGTGCTCAGAGGCAAAGCTGAGTGCTGCTTACAGGGCCCACCATGGCAAAGCAATGAACCAGGCCCACGGTTCATCCAGGGAGTCCCATCAGGAGCAGCAAGAGCTGGGGCTGAAGACACTGCTGCAGCATAGGTCTGAGGTCAGGAAATGAGGCCTTGCTAGAAAGAGGCAGAACTACAGCACAGCTCAGAATGGTGATGAGCGGCCTAGGCTGAGCTTAAATGAAGCTCCTGAGTGCTCCCAGGTGAGACCAGAGCAATTAAGGCCTATTGGTGCTATCAGAATATTGTCGGTTTTGCTTAACGTACAGACCCCCTTTACATGGGATGGGACCATACCCACAAGGAGTTTATGTGCAATTTCCCTGCTCTAGTTGGCCCGAGTGACAGCCTTCCTTACACATTCCTGTAACATCTGTCGGTCTGCACTCATCATGGGGAACATATGTGTTTGCATCTTTCAGGAGAGGATTTAGCACCATCTAGGCAATAGCATTGGGGGAAAAAAAAAAGTAAAATCCAAAGTGCATTAAAAATTACATAAATGCATTACATTTCTATTTCTCCTGAAGAATAAAACAAAAAGGGGTATGTTATGGGAATACCTCACACTACAGTGCATAACTAGCCTCTAGCAGTTACCAATGGTACATGGAAGATGTAAGCCCAGGATTTTAAAGACAACACGTAATTTGTGAACCTTCCTGGTCAAGGACAAGTGGCAACTAAAAAACACCTTGGAAGGAGGAAAACAGTAATCTCTGTGTGGCTTAGCCCCTAATTGTCCATTATAGCATTTCCTGGTCTTTTTACCCTGAAGTATTCAATTGTGGCCACTGTAAGCACTGGGGACAGAAGTCAGTTCTCCCTGCCTGAGCAATTCTCATGCTAAGGGAGTGCTTTTTTTTTTTTCTTCCAGTGCTCCAAAAGGTGCTGTGGGATGAAAAAATAAGGTGTATTTTCTGTCCTGAGGAATGGGCTGTGCAGACGGGAAAGAACATGAAGGCAGCCGGGAACAGTGATCAGCAGAGAGGGCAAAGGCAGCACAGGGGCTCATAAATATGTTTTGCTATTATTTTGGAATGGCAAAGACATGTCCTTGTAGGAGCAAAACCTTACAGATTGCTTTATTATTTTCAGTCCAATGAAATTAGCTGGAGTACGGAGAGAAGTGGGACAAACAGCAGGCAGGAACAACAGGGATGGGGGAATCTGTACGATGAGGGTACCTTGTGTTTGGGACTGTACAAGCCCCAGTCCCAAAACTGCCTAGCTGGGTGATGCTTTGTGAGCTCAGTGTGGCCAGACAAACTGGGGGTCAGTCCTCACAGCTGTGCAGCCCTGCTGGTGCTTGGATGGAGCTCCAGCAACAGGGCCCCTTTGGCTCACTGCAGGAGGCTACATGGAGCTCCTGCTGCTGCTTCACAGCGTTAGGACCCCAAAGAGTCCCATGCCTCTCCCTGCCCCTTCCCTGCTCCATGGTCCACCCTGCTCCCCTTCCTGGCACGAGGAGCAATGAGAGCCTGTGCTCGCCCCATGCAGCCACCCCATGGGAGGGGAAGGAGGCAGCACGGTGACTGCCATGCCCATAGACACATTGGTCACTTATACTGCATTCAGTGACTTATATATTTGATGCAGGAGCCTTTGTGTGCTCCCCCCACCCCTCATCTCCTTTCACCATCTGTCTGTTTGTTGAGAAATCTGTTCCAGCTGACCTCGAGCTGACCAGCGCTTCCCTCTTCCCTCCATCCTGCCATGGGCTCCTCCAGACATTCCCAGCTCAGCTCATGGGCTTTTAGCTGACTATGCAAATGTCACCCAGCCAGCTGGTGTCTGCCTCCCAGAAACACATGTTCAAAGGCCCCCTGGACAGCCAGGCGGGAGAGGGGGCAAGTCCCTGTGCCCCAGCCCAGGGGCTGCCCAGAGAAAGTTACTTAGACAGGAATTATTCAACAAACAGATGGGAGGAGGGAAGGAAGGTCAGGGAACACAGAAAATAAGACTCTGGTGCATTTGTGTCAGTGTGTGTAGGTGTGGGTGTATGGAGTTCCCAGGTGAGCATGTGGGGAGTGCAAATGTAATTCCTGTGTGGGGATGGGTAGTGATGGAAGGGGTGTGTGAGAAAAATGTATAGGAAAGATGCTTTCAACAGTTTTGTGGCCTCCTCCTCCTAACATCTTCTGCAATACACACCAGGAGCTCTAACAGAACAGCATAAAGAAGACACAGCTGTCAGAGGGCCAAACAGCAGGTCCATGAAAACTGCCTCCCAAGAGCATTACTAAAGCAAGTCAAGGCCTGAAGGGCCCATTTCTTCTTCAAGATCTGTCTTCTCTCTACCACCTAGCATGTGACCACCCAGCTCCATTGAGGAATAGTGTGAAGATGCCAAAACCTGAGGATTTGACACTGAACCAAGGAGAAAAGAGAGTAATAGGGGAGTATTGCCTCAGCACCTCACCGTGGCTGATGACACTGTAGGACATACATGCCCTGCCAGAAGGCCATGCACATACAGCAGTGCAGCTCACCTGGGTATCTTAGCAGGGCTGTGACACTGTCATTTCCTGAAACATTGGCAAGGAGCAGGATTAATGTGGTGATACTTGCTAAATCTTTGCCATGTATGAAGTGAGAGGAAGGCTTGGAGGGAAAAGGCCAAAGCATCCACAGTTCCTTGTATGGATTGCCTCAGTCAATCCCCAGCAGTTCTGCTGCTGCACCCAAAGGCTAATTCAGCCTTAATTTCTCAGGCAGAAGGAAAGGTTGGGTGTCTGTATGAAGTTAGACAGAGCCTGGACACTCTCTCCACCATGATAAGAAACTGTTTTCCTTTACCTGTTTCAGATACTCTCCCTCATCTGATCCCAGGTGTCTGGGTATTTACTTCTGAGTACTTACTGATGTTTGAGCAGGGCACGCCAAGTCATGTTTAACCTTCTGTAGGCTAAGTAAAAATCGGGATATTGGCTCTTAAAATTTAACAAGATTCTTCCTTGCAATTACAACTAGCAGAAGTCAAGGTACCTCTCCCCGGCCTAAATTTCTCCTGTCACAACTGCTGCTCTGGCCCTCTGAAAAGGACCCCTTGGGCTCCCTGGGAGAAGGCAGGATGGCAGCTCCAGATGTAGCTGACAGATGATGCTCTTCCTGGCCATAGGCAAGAACTGTAAAATGGTGAGCTGCCAGAAGCAGCTTAAGGAAGAAATGCAGAGTTTGTACGCAAGAGAAACCATGAGGTTACAGCACCAATACAGAGCACAGGGGAGTTGCTGGACATTGGAGATGTCTTCTTTGTATCCTCAAAGGTGACAATGAAGCCTGATGTCCCTGAGCCAAGCTTAATGGTAGAGAAAATGTACACTGCATGAAATAAACCCAGGCAGTAATATATGCTTCTTTCCACTGAAATTAACAGGACACCAATAAAGATAAACAGAGCTGAGTTTGCTCCCCATAATGGACTAGAGATCTCGGGTAAAGAGACCAACTATTCAAGGATGGAATGGACTGCTTCTGCTTGCATCTGTGCTCATCTCCTCTGGATTTAGAGTACCTCCCAGGTTGTCACTGGGTTTTAAAAACACCAAAGTGGAACATATGTGAATGGAAACTACCATTTCTTAGGTGTGTGTTTCCTGTGGTTGGATTTGGCACAAGAAGTAAAAGCAGTGCTGGGGTTTTTTATTGAAGAAGAAATTGGGTTATATTTGCACTACAGCAAGGCTCAACAGAGCCAAAGCTAAGGGAAATCACAAGGCAGACCAGTAGAATATATGATCATAGAACCAGATCTTCTTGGGTCTCATATTCTAGATGACAAGTCTTAGCTCTTGACCACCCCAGAAGTCATGGTAGAGGTATCTGACAGGTTTAGCTCCTTCAAGAACAGGTGCTTAGGTTAAGGGGAACAAACCAACCCTGTATTGAATGATGCAGTCTTCAGAGTATAAACTTATGAGAGCATGCTTTTGGCACTGTAAAGCCAGCTGAATGTCCCTGGACAGTTTGAGGCTGAAAGAGAAGGTCTGTATCACCACCCTGCTGTAGCTTCTCTGGGGCCTTCTACCCAACCTCCACAGTAAGCACAGCAGAAGCACACCATGACAAGCTGCCAGGAGCATGAGAGAAATAGGCTGTACCAGCCTAGTCTGAAGGGCTGTCCAAGCCACCATCCTGCTCTAAAAGGAAGTCTGGAAACAGCACTAGCTGAGCACAAGCACTGTTTTGCACTTTAATATGAAGGAAAGACTGCATCCATCTTCTTCTAGGGCCAAACAAGCATCAGCTAAGCACAGCATGAAGCCAAAAAGAAGTTACCTGCACTCAGCATGCACCTACATTTTCTTCACAGTCTTTGACAGGATCTTTGTTTCTTGTACCACAGTCCTCTCTTGAGGATCTCTGCAATATTTTTATTGCTACATGTCTTTTTTCTGGTAACTCAAATATCCTGAGATCAAAAGTCACTCACAAAACAAGTCAAGAAGGAAGCCACAAGGCTGAATCCACATAAGTGAATTTACCATGGCACAGGCTCTAGTACTGGGGCTTTTTGAGCATGGGCAGGCTCTCGGCATGGTGCCTGTGCCCACCAGCTTGTGCCTTCTCAGGTGCAGCCTGGCTGAAATTTGTGAAATTTCCCAGAAGCAGAACAGAGAAGGTCTTATTGTGCTGTGGTGGGAGAACTTTGGGACATTTCAAGATGAGCCATGTCCTACAGCTTGCATTTCCTTGAATAAACTTGTGTAGGCATAACTGCAGAACCCCATCAAAGGATACCAGAAGGATCCCAATTCCAATGGCAAACCCAGAAACTGCAAACCAGTAGAGTGCCCTCTGATGCTCAGAGCTGAGCCAGACCCACCAGGCAAGAGCCAGCACCTGGGCCCATAAGATTAACCATAAGAGCAGAACTTCAGCACTCAGTTTAACACGAAGCCAAGGAGCCATTCTCTCCTTCTGGCTGATAGTGAGCAGTAGTCGAGGCTTGGCCTCAACAAGCAGCCCCGAGCTGCGATGGGAGGGAGCTGGCAGCCCTCCCTCCACCCAGCCCAGGTGGGGGTAAGGGGTTCCCACCAGGCTCCCCCATTCCGTGGGAAGGCTGCAAGGCAGAGCGAGGAGGGGGAGTGGGTTGTCTTATCTCTCCTCTCCCTTTGTATGTACCTCCTGGTATGATTATTAAACGCAAATTACAAAAGATGTGACCCAAACGATCTTTATTTCTTCTTTCACCGAGCGGTGCCTGCAGGGTCCTGATTCTGAATTCCGTTTCAATTACCGATGCCATTTTAACACAAAGCAGCTTCTGTCTGCAATTACCGGCACTGACGGCGGCGCAGAGGCAGCTCCGGTGGCAGAACACAAAGCTTGGCATCTTCTGCTGTTTAGAAACTTTCATTTGCCATGATTAAAGGCAGCAGACGCGAGAGTTGTCCGTCTGCAGACGCGCACTGTGCGGCACGCTCCTTGCCGGAGCACTCCCTGAGAAACCAGCCCTCAGCACTCACCTCCACGAATCACTCAGGAGAACTTGAATTGCTATTCCAGCCGATATTAACCCATCGAACTTTAGCTGAACAAGGAAACTCCCTGCTTTTACTGCTGGTAAAATGCTTTTACTGCCAGTAAAACTGAGCAGCCTGAGCTGAAGAGCAGAGACCCCAGTACAAGCTGAGGCACAGGGTGATACAAAGATGAGTATTTTCCTTTTACACTGACAAAAGCACTAGTAAAAAGATTACAAAATACACTCCTCACTCACAGCTGAAATGCAGCCTCCTGCAAGTATGAGTAATGTAACTTGCAGCCTCCTGCAAGTAATATCTACAGATATTACTGCCACATATTCACTCAGGGAGAGATGAGGAATCCCAGAGCCAAATGAAACCAGTAATCGGAGACATGCACATCTGCCACAGTTGGCAATTATCTAAGACAAGAGGGGCTAGCACCTGAAATCCATTGGGCATGGACCCCATTTTGCATCTTGTTGAACAACTCAGCACCACCTGTACAGTATCTTCTGATTCTCAAGCAAAATTCTCAGCAACTGTAGTTTGACAGCTAAAG